TTGGTCGTTTGTATACGCATTCTCCTGCACCGTGCTAGTATTGTCTTAGCATTGCCTATACCTTTTTAGTACTCGCTGTCCCGCGCCTCGTATTCAACAAAATGCTGTCACCAGGACTCACAGTCTTGTCTCTGATATGGTTTCCTTCATTGAGTGAAGGAAATTGCGGTCAATAACGCTGTAGAAACAAAAAGGAATCCTCATTAAAGGGCAAGCTGAATAGTGTCAAGTTACCGGGTGGTAGGTTAGGTACAGACAGACACTTAAGTCAGCAAAAAGTGGGGGGGGGGGGGGGGCAGTTAACATTGCTGGCCCCCCCACCTCCGAAAGAAACAAAAAGGAATCCTCATTAAAGGGCAAGCTGAATAGTGTCAAGTTACCGGGTGGTAGGTTAGGTACAGACAGACACTTAAGTCAGCAAAAAGTGGGGGGGCCAGTTAACATTGCTGGCCCCCCCACCTCCGAAAGTGGGGGGGCCATGGCCCCCCCGGCCCCCCCTGTTCCTACGCCTATGACCCCGTGTCCCTGTGTTGGTAGATGTGTAACCGCACTTCCCGTAAACATGGGTGCTGGTTGTAAAGTTGATTACTCTGGGTCAGTAAAGACTGCCTCGGCAGGTATCACTTTTTCCGTCACTTACCTAATTACGGAGCGAGCGAAGCGAGCGGAGTCTTACGTAGAATAACGGAAATTTCTGAGTATGAGCGGCCGGCCGGCCGGCCGGCCGGCCGGCCGTGGTCACGCTTTTACGAGGCTTATATCTCAGCAACCACTTGACCGATTTTCATGCGGTAATTTTTGTGGGGTAGCTTCATTCCTTCTACCAAGTATTGGACTATTCCCGATGCATGTGGGTGACCCCTTATGCACGTGCCACGTGCAAAACGAAAAGGTGTCACTTTTGTAATTGTTGCAATATCTCGGTAACTACTTGGCCGATTGCGCTGAAAGTTGGCATGTAGGTAGGCACCCACTAGGCACTGCATATCCATGTGCCAGAGTTGGGGTGCTGCTGCACGTGCGCACGTGCAGGGGTCGTTTCCAGATCTCGAGAACGGCTCGACCGATGGCGCTCAAATTTGGTACATGGTTAGAGACCAGTTAGTAGGGTGCCGTGCAAAAGTCAGTTGGGACCCATTTTGCACGTGCGCACGTGCAGGGTGCCGCTTCCAGATCTCGAGAACGGCTGGGCCCAGGGGCGTCGCCGACGGGGGGGTCGGGGGGGTCGTAACCCCCCCCCCACTCTTGAAAACTGGGGGTGTCGACCCCCCCCCCACTTTTTGCGATGCTGAGTATGCTTTTTTGGCTTTTATGTCAGTGAAGCAGGCGTCAGCAACACCAACAAATACATCAGATTCAGAATCGCTTCAAGAGCTCCCTAAAGCCAATTTGCCAATTACCTAAAGTTCAATTAGCTGTGGGCGGGGAACACCAGCACAACAATATTTTTAAGTAGCCACCATTCTAGTACCTTTTTATCCCTCAAAGGATTGGACGCGCCAAAACTGCCCCGAGCGTTCGTCTGATCGTTAAAAAAAAAAATGGTCGCAGTCGATTCGTCGGACCAGTGCCTAACTACAAAACTACAAACTAGCCTCAGCCCCATGGCTATCGTCACAACTAGCTGTACATACAGTGCACATGTAGGGGAAAGGGAGTCAGATGAAACCGTCTCGGGCTTTCGCAAAGAAGTCGCGCAAAAGGAGCCGATTGCAACGAAACTTCCGGTGCGCTCGTGTTAATCATGCCTACTTAAAAATAAATCGATATCCCTGATTCAAATAAAGATGACCTTGGTTCACTTTTTCATAACATGCTTTTAATTTAGGTACAGGATAGTTTTTGGAGCTGATTTTGAACTTATCGCCGCCCATCTGAACATTTAAGTAGTAGTTGTGTTGCTTATACATATGTATAACATGTTGGGAAGCAATCGGTGGTGGTCATCCACTATTAGGTTTTGGTCGATCTGACCTGACCTGACCTGATCTACCCCAAATGCATGGAGTCATCATCTTCGTTCAAAACTAAGATAACATTCGTAATCAGAACCTCGAAAAACCATCACAACTTACATTCGCAAAGTTCTAGCAGGTCCCGAGTTTCCCTACGTATTGGCGATGACCTGAGTCCTGAGATGACCCGAAACCTTGTAAATGGGTATCATCGGCTTTCTCTCGTCACGGGCAGCATGCTCTTTTTTTCCGCAAACCTCTAGATCGATCAGGGGTCGAAAGCATACATCAGCGTTACTTTAGTATACGTTATACGTTAGCGACTGGGAGCCCACCAAAAGAAGGGCTACAGTGAAGCAGAAAACATATTTGATAGCTCTTTCAACGCTTTTTCGCTAGCTTCGGGTCAGATTTCATCTCAGGTCTATGTTTTGCCAATAGCATAGAAGGCAAACAGCTAACTGGACAGATTCTGCCGAAACATTTGCTTTGCAATACCTTTAGATTCCGTGAGTTTGTATGGTATTTAGGTACATATGTTGTCTTGTCACCACTGTGTTTATCTCTTTGAGACGCGTCACATGAGTTAAAATTTGACCATTCAGAATTAACGTTAAAACGACCTCAGGTCAACGTTATGTCCTGATCGAAAAAGGACCTCCTGCTGCATATGAATGGATCCGTGTTGTTGAGCTGAACTATGAACATCTTCCAGGTGCTGTCATCGCTCTACCGCGTCTTCGTCAAAAGTTGTAGAAAAAAAATGCTGGTGGCCATCGATGGACATTTCCACTAATGACCTTTCGAGTCATCACTCGTCATAAGTTGCACCCTGTCCCTGGCAATGATGAGCTGATTTGTCATGGCTCCAAAGATATTTTGCGTTTCTGACGAACTTTTTCAAAGCAGGAGGCATTCGTGCTTTATGTAATTTCTCATTATTTTCTAATGATGAGGTCACGTATTTGACCTGCCTCCAGATCATAGATGTAAATCCTCAGAATCATGAATTGCTGACACGTATAACCCCATACATTAGGTAGGTACAGTGTACCAAATTTCGAGTTATGGGAGAAAAGCTACAAGAATGGCGAGAGGGGAAAGTTTGGTAGAGGTATACCGTATAACTGAACTTGACATGGCGACCTGACCTTAAGTGACCAGTGATGATTTTTACGCAAGTGATGTAGGTAGGTATACCTACCTAGGTTATACCAAATTTCGCGGCGCTGCGCGCCGCTTTGTTACACGCGCACACATGCACATACGCACGCACAAAACTGGGAAGTGTGGCAAAAAAAAAACACCCCTACCCATCGGGTGAAGACTAGAAACCCGACCCCCCCCACTCAAAAATCCGTGGCGACGCCCCTGGCTGGGCCGATTGTGCTCAAATTTGGCACATCGCTAGAGACCGGTTAGTAGGGTGCCGTGCACAAGTCAGCTGGAGGTACCCCCTCGAAATTTCGCACGTGCAAGGCTCACCCTCTCGCTCGCTCCGTTAGTCGCCCCAAAAGGCGCTATACTGGTCTTACGGGTTTGAATCATGGAATGACAGTGAGAATATACGGATGTCATGCTGATCGATGTCAAGATGTCCGGTCTTCTAGATTGAAGTTTGTTTTATATTAGCATGATATACTGTACAGATGAAAATTAATCACATCGTGAAATAAAGTTCATCTAACATCTTCATTGTAGGTATTGTATGGTATTGATTTGAATTGTGCATTCAAGAGCGATCGACATTCTCAAATTGCGTAGCGATTACATACGGAGGGTGGAGTCTTCCAAATAATAAAGAACAGTGAACAATGGACACCGGTAACATTTGTAACCATCATATCTGGTAAACACGAAAACTTCATTTAATTGTAAATAAAAGACTAAAATTGTGATAGTCAAAAGTGTTAACGGATACGTCGCACTCTTAGCTTCTTTAATTGTTAGTAGCATAAACCTCTTAATGAGTTCACGAACAAAAGTCATCATTCATTTATGCGCTTACCAACATATTGGGATATAAAAACTTTTGCTTTTGATTTTGTTTTATCCCGCACCGTAGACAGTGTTTACAATTGCTTCACGTACAAAGAGAGAAAATTATCAGATGTCGTTTAACTGATTTGTTAAATATCTAGACGATTAACAAACTGTTAAACGTCTAGTAGACATTTCGTCTCGTCTGAAATATGTCGTATTTTTACATAAAATGTTTTTTTTACCTCTAAACGCCCGAAAGATATCGGCGGTACGGGATAAAATTATTAATTAAACCGCTCGTAGGTAGAAAAATCTTTTAAACGTCTCGCCTAATTGAATCGTCCTCTCCCTTAGCGTAAAAGGTAACCCTTTCCGGCGACAAGAGGTGACTTACATCTCACATATATCCGTAACAACTAATAGCACCAACAAATGAGTGCACCTGCCGGCCTGCGGTCACATAACGAGCCCCTGTTGCACCTGGTGAGAACAGGGACTGTCCGACAGAGATAGCAGCCTGCATTAAATTCATGTACCCATTCCTTGATTAGAATTTTGCTCATACATGAGCTGTGAGCAAAAAAAAAGCCTTAAGATTACCTACATGAGCTTCATTTGCAATACTTCCATGGACCGTAGTCTTTGATGTTGAGTGTTTGCTTGTCTTGCCAGGAAGAGGCCCTTACGCGATAATTGCTTGTCGTCTATGGAGCTTATTCCTCGCCATTATCAGTGATGCAGCCACTACGTCATGTAGCTCCGACATTGAGCAAAGAACATTTTACCAATTATGTATATCTTTCTTCAGGCTAGTCTCAGCATTATTTTGCCTCTGCTGCTATTTCTCAGCCGCCTACGTTTCCGAACCGGTCGCCATTGTCGCTTCTTGCCGCCAATGTGGTCGAACCGTTTCAATCAGCCGTCCGGCCTGCTGACCTCAGCTATCGCCGGAGGCTAATTGTCCCCGGCCGCCGGAGAGCCGTCTGCGTGCCGCGGCACCAGTTGCACGGCCCGGTGTGACGTCACACACCGTTGACATGTGACGTCACCGGCGGCAGATCCGTGAGGCGGGGCGGCAGCGTCAATACGGGTGGCCGGGCGGCGGACGGACGGCAGTCTGCGGCGAGCTCGGTCGCTGGAAGCCGCGCCGCTGTCGGAAGAGGCGGCCGACCGAGCGGGCCAGCAGGCCACTCCGACCAGCCGAGTCGAGAGGAGAACCTCTGCCGCGCTGAGAGGAGAGCTCCAGCGGGACCAAGCAGAGAACATTCCATCCGCCTCTGCACCAAAAGGTAGGCACCTGTTGCTGTGCTATCGGGCGGATAAGTCTGGTCAAGTGCAGTTGGATGAATACCAACCATGTAGGCTAAAATAATCATTTTGACATTTTAGACGGTAAGAAGATGCTCAAAGAATTAATTGTTAATTATTTTTGGGTTACATAACGTTACATACTTTTGCATTTTTGCCGATATTATTTTTTTGCATGAAATTGTACCCTTGGCATGACAATAAATAATCCGTTTCCAAATGACTCTTGTGATTTTTTTGAACCTCTATTGTGGTTCTTTCTCGCATTTTTTTAGGACATATCAAACATGATTTTCGTTTCCTTTTGCATTCTTAGCCGGGATTATTTTATGTGAATGTTTTTTAATGAGATAGAGGCTTGATTGACAGAACCGCTACATTTGTTGAACTTTTACGTTTCTATGAAGAAAAAAAATCAAATGGTGAGGACTGATAGAATAAAGCTCTCGACTCTTTCAGTCGGGTGAAAAGGTGCCTGTTATTTGAGATGAGTCTTATGAAACTTGAAAACGTGGCTCTTTCGGCTGAAATACGCAAAAGCAGAATACTTTCATTTTCTGTATACTTGGTACAGTGTCCTCATTTTTATTTTCTACGATAATTGATAGGAAAAAGAGAATAGGTCTTTGCTGTGTGAATATGAAGTAGGTAAAGCGGAAAGCGACCTTTTTTGAACTAGCTGACGTGCTCTTCTCTGACAAACAGGCACTACAACGGTCGCCCATTACCCATGCACATTTTAGTTCGTCATGGCTCGCGCCTCACCATCTTAAAACCGAAGTGATATGATTTATTTTGAACGGAAAACTTCATAGTCATTTCACAGAACACAGAATTTCACAGTCACAGCACCTGCCTGCGTGCAGAGTAAATGCAAAATACGATCACATTACAGTAAGACCATGCCGCATGGCGCCGCGCCGGTTCACTGGGAGGATATGCTGTACCGCATCACAGAGACGCGTTGCGGCACAGCATCAACGATTGCGTCCGCTTTTTAGACTCTCCGCTCATCGCCGCAGCGAGCGCCGCTACGCTACTGACGTGAAAAAACACATTTTATTTTAACGTACCTATAATGTAACGCGACGATCTACCATAATTATTGATTTTAGTTATCACAGTTATGGTCTTTTAATTCCAAATAGGATATCATTGGTTGTAAGACGTTGACAGCATTTTGATGACTTCCGAAATACTAGAGACAGAGTGAAATTCCTGAAGTCAATGTTGTTGTTTCATTTCCAGGTGCGCCACCATCCGCTCGCCATGCTCCGCGCTCTGGTTGCTGTGGGCCTGGGCTGCTCGCTGATCTGCAGTGTCATTGGTGCCGAGTTTCGCTACCAACTGCTCAATGACATCCAGCCACTGGACGGTAAGCACAGAAAAAGTAGCAATCTGTGAATGGATAGTCAGCTTGCAAATTAGGATAGACTTCCTATGAAGCAGACTTGACAAGCGACACTGCGCCCTGCGGTGACATTTTTTCGCTAGTTAACATTTCGGTTAACATTGTTAACATTGAACTAGTTAACATTGAAATGGGCCAGGCTGACGGCAATAGTCTGGGCACGAAATCTGTGGGTATATTTATTATTTAGCTTACCTACATATGAAATTATATCGGAAAATAAAAATGCGAGATCAGGTGGTATTAGCCAGGATTAGCTCAACAAGCCGCGCTTATTGCCGGCTTTGATCTCAACAGTCTGTAAATTGGAACATCAATTGATAATTTAAACATTTCTCATGAAGGCAATGTCGTGCCGGATTTAACTTTTTAACATGATGAACGATAGATTAGTGAGCTGAGAGCTGAGCTGACCGAACTAAGCGAAAGTCAGAGATGCTCAGTAATCAAGCTGTGGCTGAAGCGGCTCAAGACGATTTTAAACTAAGTCTGTTCAATGCCATTTGAGCTCGTCTGGGCCAGCGTATCAACAGTTTGAATCAAACAGATTTGTGTTATAGCAGGTCCAGTTATAATAGATCATGCCTCAGCTACAATAATTTTTTTCCTCAGCTACAATAATGGTGAGGTGTGACACAATCGTCCACCCATCTCTAAATGCATCTTATGACCTGCGATTCCCTCACGCACTGCCTACCTTGTATCTTGCATCATCACATTGTCTTTCATCTAGTCCATCCCCTCTCCACGACTCCCCCGCGACCCCGGCCGACCTGAGACCCCCCCCCCCCCCCCTCGCGTGCGGCCGCCACTCGCCAGCGCCGTTAACGACTTCCGTTTGTCGTTGTCGTCGTCGGCAGCTTTACCAGTCGACCGGCGCGACACTGATCCATAACGAGCGTCGGGCGACGACACAGGTAGAGTGGCACCGTGACAGGGCGTCCGGGACCGGCCGCCGCGGCGGGAAAACCCCGGCCGTCGGGCCGACGACGACGGCGATTTTGGTGTTAGAGCGCTGGATGAACGTCGTGGAAACCTGACCCGTGTTAACGAGCGTCGCGTGGAGGATTATTATGACGAGGATCATGTTCGCTCAAGCTGATGTTCACCACAGAACATACACATTAAAAAAGATACATACAACCTTTCCCTTCCATGTATACACACATGAACATCATGTTGTTTGCAAACGTTACAAAAGCGCACTTCTAGAAGCCATTTGGTGACAGACCTAGGTTTCCTACAATGCTCTGTATTTCTTGGGTGGTCGATCAATGTGAAATGGAACATGACAGATGGACAATAATTCTTCACTGATCAATCAACCATCACTCGCCGTACGTCGAGGCACTTTGGCTGTCGGCATCTTCAAAGGCGCTGCCGCTGACCTCGCAAAATACAGGTATAGCAAAGATAGGTAGCATAAGTTTTTGACAGTAGATGGACAGCGTTGATTGCGTTCTGCAGGTCATACAGCACACTATCAAAGCTCATGCATATAAGAGCAGCGTGTCGTAAAAAGGTCAGTCATAAACAGCTGCTATGCCGCAGGGATGCACACAAACTTATAAAATATGAGCTAGTTCTAATCATATGTCGTGTATTGTGACAAAGCCGCTTGTTGCTTAGCCATTAGTTCCTCTAGGTATTAGATATATGATAAAATATGCTTATTTTATAGCATCAATAATAAGCTAGGTATCTTTTTATATAATGCTGAAATACAAGGACCGTATAGGCCTGATAGTTATAACAGTCAATGCTTCTGCCCTAACTTTTATCATCTTCTTTTTATCGCCCATTTCATGGAGATTGTCGCTGGTCAACCATAACATGAATATAAATCAGATCAGATCAGATCAATCAAGTTAACCATAATATGAATCTAGACAGCAAAAAAAAAAACATATTCGTTTTACACATAGGTATCATATGAAGAAACATACCTAATGTATGACTTGCAATTTATGTACTTAATTTATACAAAACCCTTTACGTTTAAATTAACTTCATAATCGTGATCGGCTTTGAAATTTAGAACCAAATGACACACGAACCAAATTTTGTGAAGTTTTGGGTTCGCCAAAAGATTAGTAGGTTATCAATCAATTATAGGCTAGGCACCTTTAAAAACTCAAGCATCAAAGAATGCGGACAAAAAAGTCACATTTTCAAAGAGGTCAAGAGTTGTGCCTTTCTCTCAATTATGACTTATCCGTCATCCATACCCTAAAATGAAACGTACGTGGCAGGTTGGTATTGACCATTGACTTCCGTTTCTCTCATTTCCAGATTTGCCGCCGAGCGCCTATCTTGACGAGGACAACTACCTTAGAGATCCTGAACGAATGATAAGGGTAAGTACGAAACCAGACAAATGCTATTTCCGCGAATTTTTATATACTGTCGGAAGCTCAAAGTTCCAGCTTCCTGGAACTTTGAAGCTTGAATTCAATCAAAGCTCCCGTGCTATCTTGCCCTCTCACCGTACTAACTCTGCACGCATTTCCAGAAGGTAACGCTGGCTATTTTCCCCATTACCAGGTCAGGAAGGCAGCGGGCAACTGTTACGCTCAGGGCAAGTGTCTCTACTACAGCAAGCGTATGAAGGGCGAGTTCTGTGGCACTTGCGGCAAACGCGGCAGCTGCTTCCCAGGTGAGTCCCCTCCTAGAAAGCTCCATCAACCGCAAGCTTCGCCAGCTTTGTGGAAAGCTGGTGAGTGGGGAGGCCTACCGCTCGCAGCTCACGAATAACGGCGGTCGTATGCGGGTTTATATAGGACGTGTTTGTGGCAGCTATTGCCGGGCTGTGACGTGGGGACAGCCCCCGAGGCAGTATTATAAGGTTGCATATTACGGGCTAGAGCCTCCGCACATGCATTATTTATAGAGCTGGCTGGGTGCTTATGTCTATGCAGACGAAGTCCATATGAACCGCGAAGCTATAGTTTACTCTTTGTTTGATAAGGATGCTACGCAACGAAATAATAGCAAATGCTGTCGTGTATGGTTTGCTGTTTTGTTTATAATTATGAGCCCCTATAACGCGTGACTGAGGACCTCAAAATTAAGTCCACCATGCTATATATTTTGTGAGAGGTCTATCCACAACCGGTGATTATAATCACACTGTGCTGTGAATCGTGCGCAATTTCCTGCGATTTCCCGGCGCTTTCTGCAGCACCCTAATGGGTTTGCCTCTGCTCCGCTATGATTCCATCGCGTTAAATGCCAACATTTTCCCCACCGTCCATTTTTGGCGCTCACAGCGTTTCATTTTCCGGAGCGCTCCCTCGAGTCCCGTGCCCTCTGCGACTGGTGTCGGGTGATCAGTCAGCCCGCAGAGCAACCTTTTCCGACCTGCCCTCGATCACTCATGGCCGCCCGGTCCCGCCCTGTCCCAGCCCACCGTCCGGCTTTGTGTCGTTGCGTGGACCTCCGGATCAACTTTATTAGCACGGGGCGCCGCGCCGTGCCGGGGTGGTGGTCTGACCTCCGCGCGCCGCGCCGCCTGCAGCGCGGCCGACCGCTCGGCCTGCACGGCGCCCTGTTCTGATCAATACAGACAAACGCGCCACGCGGCGGCCCGCGCCAGAGCGGTGCAGAGCCCATCTCGGGGTGGCACGGCGCCGACGGCGGCCGCTAAGGTGACCACAGGTGGCCAGAGTGGCCGCCCCCGCAATCCGCCGCCGTCATCCCACGCTGACCACGGCGTGATGGATGGCGATCAATTTATAATGTTGCCATGCCTGTTAAGTGATTGCTATTTAGGTCAAACACAGTGGCTGCTGTCATAATTATCCACCATCTTTACGTAACTGATTTCTAACATTCAATTCAATTATTTGCGATCTATAAAAATTGAAAATTATTTTTGTCAATGAGAAAACAAAAATTTAGGCGAGATGGGATGCCTGCAAAAACCATGATGCTCATTAGCAAATATGATCAAATGATGCGAAAATTGCAAGTGCAGTGTGACGTACTTTTTCTCTTAACTAGCTTGTCCTTTCTATTGACTATTGACTATTCTACTAACTATTGAGGGGATGTAATATTATGACCGCACCAACTCGGCCCGGCGGTGGGCACGGCTGCTTCTGGCACGCAGTCCGACTGTTCGCCCAGCCGCTGCAGCAATCCAATTACGCATAAGTGCCCCGGCTTGATGAGATATTCATGCACCGGCGCTCGTTTCTAATGCAATCACGTCGTTGTTACTTTTTAATTTGTGTTTTGATAGGAGGGTAATATCCGACTTTTGATAGAGTGCCTCAAGATATCTCGAAGTCTAGCAGCAGACAGGAGAAAAAGGTTTTCATAGCAGTCAATTTTATTGAGACCAATTTATGCTATGGGAGAGTACAAAAAGTGCCTTCTTGATCCTCAATAGATTATAATCTTTATAAGTCCGGCGAGTAGAATATAAGATGAACGTTTGCTATGTACCCTTTTTTATATTTATCTCCCAGACATTATTCTATATGTAGCCTCCTTTATCGTCAAACCGTACTCGTTAATAATTAGTTTTACTATCCTCGGAAAGCTTTTATCGAAAATCTAGCAGGATAATCACCCTCTCATTTGTATTCAAGAAGCGCTTAGTAACAGATCAAGAACAGTATCTTGTGGAGCTGTCGGCAGCCGCTCCACAGCATAAATTACGTTCTCCGACGTTTGATCTTGCTGATTTAAATTCGCCAGCGTTGTGAGCTGTGCGTTTATAAAAATAGAGCTCCTTGGAAGTCATCAGTTGAATGTTCTGAAGGCAGTATTTCCTTGTGATATCATATTTAGGCTTGAACTGTGTCTAATTTTGGATATTACTGATAACTGCGATGATGTAACGCTCCTTAAAGTTTTTTTTTCTGGTGGTATTTTTCTTTTCAAGAAAACATTGTTCAATGCTTCGCTAGCTTTTTTAAATCGAACGTTACATTCGTTTCATGCAAAGGCTTATACACAAATAATGCGGATACATTGTGGTCTCTTGCAGGAAGCGCTACGGTGCTGAAGGAAACCGGCGAGGTCACTCCGATGACGAACCTTCGGGTCAACGATAGGGTGCTCGCGGGTAAGGCCTGAAGATTAACTCATCAGTCTCATGACAGTGTGACATTATCGCATTACGACGGAAATATTGATATGTTCTGACACAGCGGCGCGCACCATGAATTGCTTACTCGATTTCACTCACCAAAAGTTCTTAGCTTATCATCATCTTATTGACATTACATTAACTTCACACCAATGTTGGATTTTCATTTCCTTCTTCTTTGGCACATTAATCCATATGGCACAATCATCTACAATAAGCCAATCAACAGATTGCCATAACCGTCTGTTCACCTTTTTCAGCGAGCCGCTCTGGAGAGCTCACCTTCAGTCCGGTGGTGACCTGGCTGGACAAGCGCTCTAACGACACCACTCAGTACCTGGAGCTGTCCACAGAGACGGGCCACCGGCTCCGGCTGTCTCCCAACCACGTGCTGCTCGTCAACGAGCAACAGGAGCTCGTCTCCCGGTGAGTGTGAGCGGAATGTTGTGGTGTAATGTGTGAAGGATTTCCATGTTAGATTATTAAAACTCTCATCAGGGTTTTTTTTTTAGTCGCGATGCTGTCGTGACCTGTGACCACATGTATGTATGTATGTGTGAACTGATAAACTGATGCATGCAGCAGTTCTGTCTCGATAAAATTGTCGCCCGTCTGCTTTTTAATCCTTATTTAAGTCAAACTGAGTCCCTGCCGCCATTTAACCAATGACCTTTGGGTTCTGTGTCGACAGTTTTGCCTCGGACATCTGTCCCGGAGACCTGCTGAAGGTGGCCGACTCTGACTCCGACTCAGAGTCATCCTGGTCGCCGGTGACCGACGTTCGTCCCCTGGTCGATACTGGTGAGTACAGAATATTAATACACTAACGTGGATTTATCGCAGACTGGTGTTCACTGGGAACCATGTGTAAACGGCTAACATACATTTGTTTGTGTTTTATCGAGGCTTCAAAAGCCAAACACTCGTTCCACTTCTCCATCTTTTTGGCTTGTTGACACTGATGAATCAAACACACATGAACTTATTTATATATATATATATATATATATATATATATATATATATATATAAATATATATATATATATATATATATATATATATATATATATATATATATATATATATATATATATATATATATATATATATATATATATATATATATATATATATATATATATATATATATATATATATATATATATATATATATATATATATATATATATATATAAGCAATAAGCATTATATAAGATTGCACTATTTACATGGAAACACAGCTTACAAATCAAATCAATGTCACCCCGCCTGTAACATTTTTGCAAAATACAAAGCCTTTCCACGGCACTTAGCACAAAAATGCTGAGCGATATTTCTTATGTTTCGTAGCGCGGTATTCTCCTCAATATTATAGTACACCAAACGGTGGCATTGCATCGCTTAGCTATGGCAGCCTGTTTCCTTCCCTCATATCTAAAACATTTAAAGTGCAATGTGCGATAAACCATGACAGGCTGTGCCATAAATATTTCCATGGGATGGTCGTTGTGCCATGCAAGCGCGACATATTGGCCTTCTCACCATGCTATTGCAAGTCGTGGTGGGCTAAATCGTACATTAATACCAAGCCCAAACGGGTTTCTTGCAGACTAAAGAGCGATGAACCGAACAACATAGCTGACTGTCGCGCATTTATTAGGTAGTCTCGGAGCGGGGACCAGTAATAGTAACTGCTCCGCTCGATAGATGACGCTAGCGTACAGCGCCTGGCGGATGCTGTGCCGCAATGACACGGTCCGCAAGGACGCTGCAAGCTGTAACGGAGATAGATATGGCGAGCGACTGGAGGAGACAGGGATTGTGGAGGACATATGAATCTGCTAACATGAGAATAATGCCTTAAATACCGAGGTTTCAATCTTGCTCCTCTGCTTTTAATTGCAAGCTTTCGTTCCACAATGACCATGTGGAGTTGCCAGTCATTCGTATACCTATGAGTTATGACGATATTCCCATGCACATTTACTTGCCTACCAAAAATAGTCCTTACTCGGCCCACCCTGAGTGCCCTCTCGTGTCTTTTCCTGACCCTGCCGCGGTAACACCCGGACCTCCACTCGCATCTGATTGGCCGGTGGTTTCGCATGCCGCCAAAGGCTAGATGTCCAGGCACGCCATAAAGTTTACAGGCCGCTGGCCACTGCAGGCAAAATAGTTCTTGGGTGTAGCCTTCTATTGAAGGCAGGGAAGTTAGTAAGGTGTTAGTAAAGGGCGAAGTGTTTTATTCGTTCTGGGAAACCGCTCAGTGCAGTACGTATTTAGCCCTCCTGTGCCAGCAATGTGAGGGCATGAAAATGAATGCTCATTTACATTCAGCTTAAGCATTCAAGTTCCTTGTTCACATGCTTCTTGCTTCTTCTTAATTATTTAGGTAGTGCAAAAGGATGAAAATTATGGCGCTTAGGATGGGCGTTCGTAGCATATTGGCAATTTGACATCGTTTTGGGTTTCATTTTCTATATAAAAAAATGTCGCAGCCTCTTTCTGGTTGTAGTCGCAATGCTCTCGTTTGATAAGCGTGCACTGGCGGCTTTTCTTTTGATCTCTCTTCAAAGCAGAAGCGAAGGAGTGCCTCCTCGTAAGAATAATTCATAGTTATCTTGACATCCTTGGCGGTTGTGTTCGTGAATGCTCCAAATAATGGTAATTTTAACCATGTATAGACCCGTTGCTACGCATCCATCTAAGTTGAAGCCGTCTTTACATCCCGGCGTATTAATCCCAGGACCTCTCGAGCAGGCCATTGTTTGCGTCTATTTAGAGCACATCTAACGTCTACTCGGTCAGTCAATGACCCGCGCGCCACATTGAGCGCCAATGATGATGAAGCGACGAACGCGGCGCAATGACGGCGGCGGCAGCCGGTGGTGTGATGGTCGATACAACGCGCTGCGACTCTACCTTCAGGACAGATCTCTCAAGGTGCACCTACTGAAATTTCGAGTACTGTGAACCCGAGACATTGTGAATACGCCTGCAGACGCCACGGTGAATAGGACGAATGCGTCTCTTGGGTACTTAGCCGCCCCCGCTGCAGCCTGTGCCTCGTGCGCCGCTGGGTGGTCTGCGTGTCGAGCCTCCTTTCCGGCTCAGATTGGACGAGATCGGGTGATAGAATTGATCGGCCCGGATATGATTATTTGGCGCGGTGCGATTGCAGTCGGTATTGCCTGGGAGAGCGGGCTCCTGGAGCACCTGACGATGGAAAATGATTACTGCACAGGCCACAGAGGAGTGCCACCACCTGGCACTTCTCGGCGGTAAATTATTTACGTGCCGCGGCCACCCTGCAGTGGGGATACCAGAAACTGGCGGCAAAAAGTAGCCGAGCAAAAGCTACTGAGCTGACAATCAAGCGAGTGCTGTCTGATGCCCAATCACCCGACTGGATAGCATCCTATTAGCGAGTGTCCTATTAGCTTTTATTGGCAGCGACGGCAGAGCTGTAAAAAAACATTGCAGCAAAAAATAAAACGAGACCGTGCGACCCTTGATGCATTCTTTAGGAAAGTAGATCTGTCATGGAGTCTTGGGGCCTGCCTAGTGGGAACAGGGGAGTTAACGCTTCCTGACGTTTTCCAGGCTTTGAGTGGAGTGGGTTTGAGTGGGCTTGTGGTATGTGTAGCATATGGTACGCACCTAACCTAGGCATAATTGCATTCATTTCAAGGAAATGCCTAGTGCCCACTTACAAGACGCTAGTGGATCCAAAGTGGTGTTATACATTCTGTGACCTTTTGCCAACATTGTTGGGTCTAAAACGTTTTATATCGCCATGCCTCTGAAAAGCGTGTTCACGGCCTAACTGTAGGTAACTTTTACACTTTTTTCCATTGTTCATTTAATTAAATATCCATATTTAAGGAACAAAAATTGTTTGTAAATGGCATATTCCCAGCAGAAGATATCTCCCTCCCTCCCTCCCTCCCTCCCTCCCTATATCGCTCTCTCCTCTCTCTCTCTCTCTCTCTCTCTCTCTCTCTCTCTCTCTCTCTCTCTCTCTCTCTCTCTCTCTCTCTCTTTTCCACACACAAACACTGAACACGTTTATTGGTCATGTATGTCTGCTTTTCAACGGAATGTCTGTTTCAATTTGATAGGTAGACTGTACCGCAATATCCCAACGTACTGCGGCACAGTATGACTTTTATCGACAATCGGCAGCTGCGCCGAGTGATACGTGGGAAATTGCAGACTACAGAGGTTGTACAGAGGTCTATGCTATGATATATATTTTTTAAAGCAAATTTTGTGACCCCTGTTGCCCCACGATCACAGGAGCGTTCGTGCCGCTGACCGCTGAGGGGACGATCGTGGTGGACGGTGTGCTGGCCTCGTGTTACGCCTCGTTCGACCACGACTGGGCCCACCTGCTGACTACGCCGGTTCGCTGGTTCCCCTGGCTGTTCGAGGGGGAGGAGGAGAGGGAGGCCGACGGACCCAGAGGTAGGGCGCCCGGCTCACGCCTTGTCTGACGTGTGCCTGTCTGTTGTACCTCTACCTGTAGTTGATAATTTACCGACGTTCAGCAGTGAAAGGATATTTTTTGTTTTGTTTCCGATTTGCAATGTTTTGCATCCGTTTTTATCTCGATAGTTTGCAGTAGTTGGCTTGTGCTTATGTTGGTAAAGTCGAACCCATTCGTTGAGATCATACGAATAAATAAGGAAGGCTTGTATCTCGTGTCGATTTGAAGTTGTGTTAATGTTTAGACCAAGTGTGGCTAGCTTTGTTTGTTAGCTTTGTGTCACTTTCATTCGTCACATTTATGTACTCCGCGGAGAAAACAGCATTGTGGTGTAATACAAACCTTTTTATTGTTTGTTGGCTGAATAACTTCAGGTCCTTTATAACGAGATCTTTTAGTGCCATTAGTTTATTGCTATTTAGTTTTTGATAAGTGTCGCTTATCTGTTTTGATTAATACCTTAAATGGTTTAAAATGAAATAATTATTTACTGCAACTACATACCAGCGCCATCATACGCTTATCACAAAATATAGCAAGCCATATTTCACTCGAAAATAACCATCAGCAGGTAAGCAGTATAAATTCCTAGAGCTGCAAAGGGTATGCAGACTCGTCATCACACATCATTTATTATTGTTTATTGTTTATTATTGTTTATTGAACACTTAAGAACCCATCCGCCCATTTATGTACGACGTTATCACCGCTGCTTCCTATGTGGTTAAAGGCACTCCTAAGCTTCCTCACCTTTCACTCGCCCACCGCTGCGTACCCAGCTGACAGACCTCTCCCCGTTTGTGTGCGTGTCTGCAGCTGCTGTGGAACAGCTGAAGGAGGTGGGTCGCTGGCTCTTCCCCGAGCCCGGCTCTAAGAACCGCGCCGCGCCGGACGACACCGTCATCCAGCTGACGGACAATGACGCCGGCGTCATCCGCCTGCCGCTGATGGCGTCCCTCGCGGCCAACAGTCAGTAGAGACGTCCGATCAGGGAGCACCGCCGGGGTTAAAGGACCCTCGCGGCTGGTTAGATCCGACAAGAACCAATCCGACCCGGCCGCAACTTAGTTAATCTAGTGTCACCTGGCTCTCTGTGCTGTGAGGCTTGATTTTGGTTAAAATTCAGTTAGTTGGAGCCAGTGGTGTGCTGGAAGATGCCATGGACGGTGTGCAAATTATGCTAAAACATTTAAATTGGCGGAGTCTGGACTCAGTTTGAGAAACACTATGTCAGAAGGGACGAGCGTACTTCCTCAGAGACAGTCAAATGAATGACAAAAGTCACGTGAATACCCAAACGAGCCCCAAACCAAATGAAGATAGCGAACGTCCAGGGCATCTTGCTGCACACCGATTGGTCCCTAGTGTCACCCAATGAGCGTTTGTCGGCCGGCCGGCCGGGGGCTGGCGGCGGGGTCAAGCCCCACTGTGACCCTGCCGCGCCCCTCCCGGCCGGCCGGTGACCTCTGGCTGACCTCTGACCCCTGAGCGCGCCCATCTGGCCGGACGCCGGCCGGCTCGGCCGAGGCTGTCGACGATGCCAGCAGATCACCGCCAATGGCCAAACTGTCGTAAACGCTGCCCAATATCCGGCTCAAGTTGAGCGGCCGCCGCCGTCTGCCCATTCCGCTAGACGGTCGGAGAGCGGCCGGTTCTCCGTGACGTCCGAGTTTGGTGATCCTCGTCGTTCAGCCGACCGGCGTCTGTCGTTGTTGTTGATGCCCCCCCGATTCGAGCGCGGCAGTGGCGGCCGGCCGGCCCGTCCCCCTGAACCGAGACGTGACCTCTGCCTGACCCTGACCGGGTCACGTCTCCGGACGGCCCAGCGCTGGGCGTCCGACCGGGCCGACCTGTCCCCGAGGATATCGCCGCTACAACTACCCATCGGGTGGCTCTTGACTCCCGGGGAGTCGTCAACAACCAGAGGTGTGGTGAGGCTCAAACCGCTTGCAGCTTGCTAAGTTCGGAGCCATTGAGCTCATTTATAGCCAAGTTTCCTTTGTGATCAATAGGCGAAGTTGGTCCCGCTTACCCTGCTTTCAGATTTGTTGACCATTTTTCGGAGTGACGGCGTCACGCGAGTTGAATTCTGTGACCTGCCGACCCCCTCGTAACTGTCGGTCCCTCGCAGCTAGCGCTACAGCGCTAATGAACAGAGTTGGTCGGTACACCTGGCTGCCACGCAACAGCAACGCCCACACCCACTGAAAACGGGGCTCGGATGCCTGGAACAGTATCGACGAATATAGCAACACTAAAATAGACTAATAGTCAATAGCAGACTTTTCAACACAAGTCTGGAACGATCTCTCGTAGATTCGTCGATTCTGTTTCACGCTCCCGACCTCGGCGATGAAGAGATTCGTGAAGGATTGTCTGCGTCGCGAGCTGCGAGCTGTGTAAAGTCTCGAAGGACAGTGTCAGAAAGCGTCAGCCCGTGCCAGCCGAGTGCGCTAGAGTGCGGGCTGACTCTCGTGTTGTGTGTGAAACGCGACATATCATTTCGAGCATATCAGCTAACGTTAGCGGTCTCTGGGCCAGCGAACTGTAGCATGCTACAGTCTCTCATAGCCATGCTGTCGCTATAGTACAGTTAAACATATCAGATGTGTGATATATTCTCGATGAGTGGCGCCTCTTAGACATAGTTATGCATACTCGCTAGTTTTAAAGTGGCCCATTAGGGTGCGACAGAAAAGGTTACATATTTTACTCGTGGCATTCGGTAAGACGAGAAGTCTTTGATTGAAACCAGTTTTCATTGTGCATTTTGAACACTACGGTTCCTGTGATCGTCTGATAGGTATCGACTACAGTCGTTAGGTGCTGCATATTTGCTCTCTTACAAGACAAGACCAGCAGATTATATTGTTTGTGGCGTATTTGGCGTTTTCAAATATACGGGCAACACATCTCTTATCTTCTTTTGGTTTCTAGCTCCTTAGTTCCTTCCTATTCCATAGCGACTGATAAAAATGATGAGCTTGAAACTCTGGACTCCGCTATCTTCACCCCGATGTCGGGTATTTTTATTCAGTGTCGTCCCTTAGTGGAATTCATAAAACATCAGACGGAAGGCGACACACAACACTGGTGACAAACACCTCTGTCATTTTAGTGTCGTGCAGCGTCGTGAACCGACACCATAAACGTTTCTTAACACTCAACTTGTTTGAACACTCTGGTACTTTGCCATCGCATGCAACTTCACGGAACAGAAAGAGGCACTTAGCTTTAAAAGGAAAAGGTTGAGTGGATATAAGTCAGGGACATAGGTGCGTCTAGCGGCGACAGAATAAAAGCGTTGAAATTGTGTATGCTTCAGGTAACGGTTCGATCTATATCGCACCCCATATATTATATGAACATCACAGGAAACAGTTTCAGTATCATTACCGCTATACAATATACATAAATAACAATGCGCCAGAGCTGCATAAATATGTCAGACAGGAATGCAGCCGAAAAGTGACAGAGCAGCCCCAGGGACTGCATTGCTGTTGTATCTTTCAGTTAGGTTATTTCAACAGCAGTTAAATCTTAGCTGCAGCTAATGGCATTCCTTGTTTCACATACCAATAACACATTGCCTCAGAAATAATTCATTATACAGATATTCAATGTCATCTCGACCCATCTCGCCTTCAACACGTATGACATTCAAGCTCTAAATGTGCGCAAAAGTAGATTATCTTCTGCGTAAACACAATTAAACTACCGCGTCTCCATCATCCCACGCCAGCCGGCACCGAGCTCAGCCAGTCTGTGGAGCCGCCGAAAGACGCCGATCCCCAGGGCTCTGGACAAGGAGACGGCATTAGGCTGATCTTTGCCGTGCCAGCTGAGGGCCATTCGTCTTAATCTACCGGCTGACGCATAGCGCAGCTCAAGCAGCGCGGCCTTCGGTCCAGACGGCACATTACCGGCTCGATGGCATCGATTATGGGAGAACGGAGCCATATGCTTCCACACGCACCGGGTGGATGCGATAATTATGCGTGCTCCATGTCACGACATTCATACAGGAGAACCACAGAAACTATTACAAATATCTACGCAATGTTGTAAATACAGAGACGCAAAGGGCACGACATATCACGGCATAGTGAAATTCGAACAAATAGATAATTAAGCAACGAACAGAAACCCTCTGTCCACGCAGTGGACAAAAACTACATCAAATATTTATACACATAAAGGTCTGGTACAGACACGTTTATTTGGTAAGGTACCATTCTTGCTTTGGTACCCAAATCCAATGCAATTCCGATGGAAAGCGACTGGTCAAGACACAAATTCTTCTGAGCACAATAGTCTAGAGAACAAAACATCAAAATGTCACAGAGCAAATCTACCAGGCATCTACACATATTACAAAGCTCTATCCACTAGATGTTACAGGAGCCTTTTCCACTACCCCGCGGATGCAGCAAACACATCGTTAACACACATCATTACACCAATACGGCGAGTCCAGGAAGGTTAGCGCCTCGCCAATGACCGATCACCTTCTCCAGGGACCTCGGCGAGCGGCAGGGCATGCCACTGCTCCGCTGCTCTGTCCGGCACGGTCACTCCGTGCTCTGTCCTCCGGCGCAGCGCGCTGCGTCCACCAGCGCCGGGATTCACCCCACGCCCTGTCTGGACAGTAGCGCTGATAACCGCTGATCGGCGAGCAGATACGTGCTCAGGGAACCACGCAGCCCGCGGACCGACTCCCAGATTTGTCCACAATGCTTCTGTTCAGGTTTGCTGGTCACGTGACGGGTGACATTGGGCGTGCGCGGCTTTGGTTGACCCTCACGTGACAAGACTGCGTTAGAGAGTCGGCGGCGGTGTTGAGTCATGTGACTGACTAATGGGGCGGATGGCTCAAACCCGGCTCTCGGGGCCCTCAGTCACGTGACAGAAGGACTGACGCAGCGCGGCCAGCTCGCGGGCACACTCGTGGCCGTAGACCCGGCTGTACCAGTCAACAGAAAGACCCCTGAAAACGAGAACAAAATCGGTCAGTTGGAGTCAGCAATATGCGGACATCCCACCCAATCACCTCTATCAGCTGTAATCTCAAACAGACGCCTATTGACCATTGTGTTGGGCGGCTCGCTCATGCATACACATCAGAGCGATTCACGAGCATTGGGCGGCGGCAGCCGGATGGCTCGCACCCGCTGCATGCAAATCCCCCATCACCGCCTGGCCCATGAATGGCTAGTGGACGGCCAGCCTTTCCATGATGAACCCGAGCAGCCGGGATGGCCTCTGACTCGGCCCCGGACGGCGCCATCAATAGAAACACTTTGCAATTCACATGGTCGGCGCCGCCGGGGAGGCTGCCGTAAATCAGCACCGCACTCGTTCCCCCGGTCATTTGCAGTCTGACGAGCGGCGCCGCAGCACGCCCGGGAACGCTTAGGCGCCGATTTGGGTCGGTGGCGCCGGCCGAGCCACTTTACGTGGGCGGTCGAGAGGCCTGTTGGGACGATTGGTTAGCGCGTGGGGGCGGGGCGACGCACCTCTGTTCGACTCGCGAGAAGTGGGTGACCTTTGACCTGCCGGAGCCGCAGGGCTCGACCAGGTAGCGCGAGGCGAGCACGACGCCGCGCCGTGCGCCGCTGCCCGCTGGCGACTCTGGAACGGAGAAACGGGACGTTCAGGCTGAGGCCACATCAGAGACGACGCGGCGACACAGCCGGATTATTCCGCTCAAACACGCATGCGACTATTCGGTTCAACAGTTGAAATGGGAAGCACAACAGTCAACATCCAAGTGGCTTATTCTAGATGCAAGCGAGATTGCCCGCAAACCAAACATATCCAAGCCATATGGCAGAACTAATTGGCATTTGTCTGTCGCTGGAACAAACACGCTGTATAATTTACTCCATGACAATCACAGTCCAATGCAACTGAGCCAGACCCCGACCGTCAACATTGTTCCACAATGGCACCACACATTCGACCAGCGAGATTACAGCGGGCTCGGTTACACAGCTGTCGCGCAAACTAAATGAGATGTCTGCGTCCGCATGGGACTAATCTGGTTGTCACCAGCGAGCAGCCAGTCTGACTGGTACCATTAGCTCGCTTGGACTCGTAACAAGCCAGTAGGACTGACAGCTGGGCCGAGCGGGCTCGACTTCCGACCGGAAATTGCCAGCGACAAGTTCCGAGAGAGAAATACCGGATCTGAGGTGGTGTGATCGTAACTGTTACATGGTAGTTAAATGTCACTGTGTGATGGTTATATCTTGGCGGGATTCGTATTCAGGCTAGGTACGTATTAAATTACAAAGGGAGACGGAAAGTTGGCGAGAGCTTAGCCCAAATTGCATCAACGTTGGGGCTTATATAACAGCCAAACGGCAAACGTTTCCTGGGCGAGACGGCACAATTTATATCGGCTTTGGCCGGTCGGCCCGCATGGCTCGGCGGCGGGTTTAGGGCGGCTCGCGGCGGTGACGGGGTCGCCAGCGGAGAGCTGTGCCGAGCTGCGCCAGCCGCCGCCACCGCCGGCCGGTCGATAGGGCCGACCGTGAAGCGGGCCTGGTCACGACAGCGTCGCTCCACTCGGCGGCTCGGCTCGAGTGGGCCGACAGCGTCACTTGACACCGAGCTAACCGCGTCAGACGGCCAACACGGGCCCACCCGGCGCGACGGCACCGACCCGGGAGGTAAACACTCGAAACGGCGCGATATCGCCGACATCTGAAAACAATCCTTCGGTCACTCACCGGGGTGTTCGATGGACGTCTCGACGAGCGCGCACGCGCCGCGCGCCAGGTCGGTTCGCCACGCCCTCAGGACGCAGAACTCTGTGGCTGGCAGGGGCGCTGGGGCCGATACAGCATACTGGTACACCTCAGCGTCTTCAGCGAGCCGCTCCACGACCCGCCACTTGACCACGCGCATGTTGAACGCGTGCCGCTGACGGAGGATCCTCTGGAGCGCCTCGGACGGAGGTGCCTCCACCTCAACTGCTGCCCTCCACAGGCGCAGCCGGTGTCCGTCGCCGACTTTGCGATAGGCCAGCTCCACGTCCGCGGTGGTAGCCGGCGGCAGCGGCGAGGAGCTCGGAGACCCAGAGAAGACGGAGAACGCTGACCCTCCGTTGGTAGAGGGAGTGGTGGGGGTAGACGGACAGCTCGCACCGGCCGGTACGCAGGGCACGGTCACCCACCCCCGCGGCTTGTCACGGGCCTCCCTGACCAGTGCCGTGCAGCAGGAGTCGGTGTAGGCGCGCCACGAGCCCGGCTGCTCCTCCGTTCCCAGTGAGGAGAGAGCCACGGGCTGGGACACGTCCAGGTAGGAGAACCGACACCGGGAGAGCAGTGCGGCCGGCAGCCGGAACAGAGCATCACCCTGCGGAGGAGAGGCGGGTCGGTCAGATGAAAAGACAGTATCGGTCAGAAGACGGAGGCACACTGGGGTAAGATATCAGATGGAAGACAGAGGATTTTAGTGGCAGAAATAGCTACGATGATAGAAATCGAACGTCACATGGAATATGACCCAGTAGTAAGAATACACATGTGAGCCCATCAGGAAATGAAATGTCAGACGGAGATCAAAACAAAGGTCATGAGGCGGACGGATGACAATAGAAAAGCTAAATGATGATGAAAAGCGTGGGACAGTCATAAAGCAAATGTAGAAAAGCCCCGTGTAAGCCGCTCGGCGAATGAGTGGAATTACAGGGAAAACCGATGTGAAAAATAAAGCAAACTATTTTTACGATGGTTAGGCCCAGAGCCCTTCATCTTTTAAAAGAAGCCTCTTTTAGTAAGATCAGTAAGCTTGATCTCGACCAATATTCATCGCTCCAACGCCCTCAGCTAATCCAATATCAAGCTACAAACACCAGAACATCTAACGGCTCATCGTTCCGGAACATAATCAGCGACCACCGCTCAGATCAGCGATCAAAGCGTCCGCTGCGACCGGAGCTCTCGTCCACTCACCTGTCTGATCAACTCTGCCAGACACTCGTGAGCTGCGCGGTTCTCATCGAGCTCCCTCTGAGCGGGCAGGCCGGCCCGGCGCGTGCGGCGGGGCGAGGCAGACGAGGAACGTTTGGATGTGACCGCCAGCACGGAGGGAGCCAGACACACGGCCAGGTTGTGCGCCGTCATCTGGTTGGCTTCGGAGGCGGCTGCTACCTCGCCCAGGAAGGTGAGCAGGGTTTGGAGGGCCAGGCGAGATTCGTCCGGTAGAAGAAGCAGTGCGCACCGGACCAGGTCCAAACGCAGCTCGGCCGGAACATCTGAGGGACAGAAGCCATACATTGGTTAAACAGATAGCGAGTAAATATTTATAATTTAGTTGAACATTGTAAGGAGGTAAGCCGATAGTTCTTACAAGCTATTTCACAAAAATGACATGAACTGATTAGGAAATGCATTCGCCATAAAGGTATAATAAAATCCGGCGTTATGACGTCTAATGGTGATGTAGAAAGCAGATTTAGGAGTTTATGGCGTCGTCGCAACTAATAAAAGCTGACAGAGTGGTCATACAATAGCTAAGCAAATATGGAGTCACACCTGACCTTTCAGACATGACGATTTTAGCATAAGACGGCGCCAGGTTTTTAGTTCGAAGGGTATAAAATACATCCCACAAAATTATATTGTTAAAACAACTACGTTCTCAACCAACTTTCATTCTTACATTGGTAGATGGTGATGAGCATCTGTGAGACTCGCGATGTGAGCAGCACCTCCGGCAGCTCTCTGAGGTACTGTTTGACCAGGTCGGCCACGTCGAACGCGCTGAACCCGTCGAACGTGACCTGCTCCTCGTCTCCGGCCGCCTCGCATATCAGCCTCAGCTGCTGGATTCGCGAGCGAACGCCAGACTTACGAAACAGGCCCACCTGAAAACCAGAGCGGAAACGGTCCGTGGTAAATGCTGGAAATGTCACCCACCAATGGTCTCCCGAGGCCCATTCTTCACCCATAAAGGCACTCCTCGTCGATATCGTCTGCAAGTGTGTGCGTTTAATTGTGCCTTGCGTCGACATCGATGTTTGTCTTTCTCACGCTCTATTGCGGTTCGGTAACACGATATTTGGTCGGCAAACAGCCGGGCCGGACGGACGGGGCCAGTATCCACCGTCGGCGCAGGGTTCAATAGTTGTGGTGGGAGGAAGGGATACGGGGCGCCGATGGGCGACAAAGAGCGACATTCGGTGGTTGATTGGGCGGCAGTGGGCGGCAGTGGGCGGCAGCGGAGACAGAGGACGAGAATCAGCGACATTGTGCCATAATTGCGGGCGGCAGATGGCGGCGACACAAGAAAATGAGGAGCCAATCACAGGTGATGGAGGACAGAAAAAAAACGAGCGAGAATGGCACGAAAGAAAAAGCTGGCAGGGAATGATAGAGGGACTGATAATACGAACGTCCACCATCGTTCGCCATTGTTGGCTAGCGTTTACCGGCGTTCACCGAAGTTCACCAGGGTTCAACGGCATTTTGCAACTTTTACCAGCGTTTACTAACGCTCGCCAGCATTTAGCAGCCTTCAGCGTCATCCTCCATTCCACAGTCCTCACCTGCTCTAGGGCCGTTCTGCGGAGCATCTCGAGCGCCTGTACGACGGGAGCGGGTAGCGGTCCGGCGCCCCTCTGTGCCACCACTGTCAGAGGCACTCCGAACACTCGCCGGGAGCGGTAGTCGGGGTCGGCGCGCCGCCGTCGCATCAGCTTGGGCAGCTCCCAGCCCCAGCCGGCAGACTTGGACGGGCAGTAGCGCTGCACGGCTGTCGTGATTCTGAACGGAGGGTGAGAGACTGTCAGCGCTTTGTAGGTGATGGAGACTGGAAGCAAGCGTTAGCACTAGAAGCCGGGAGTTACGGACAGCGAAACTTCGGAAAAGTAATAATACTTGACGTCGAGTGAAGCCTAAGCCCCGTTAGCTGAGATGAGCTCTCATCATTTATATGCAGAGCTTTGTTGTCGAGATAGCAAGAGCTGGAGGCACTCAAACGGTAGCCAGGGTGCTCTTCAGAATAATTAATGCTGTCGACCTATTTGATTATGCAAACGGCAAAAACACAAATATCATACTGAATGTTCAGAATTGTCCGACGTTGAGCTTTTGCAGCAAAACAGACTGAGCAAATGAAAACGAAGTTTCAATCCGTAGCCATTTGAAATTTGATTTGTGCCTCACAGCGAAATATCTTACATCCGGCCAGCCAATTGCTGATTGAAGCGCTGCAGAATATTAAGCATCGGCAAGCTATTGATAGGTTCGACCCACACTATCTTTACTGGATTGTATCGTAAATAAATGATTTAATTTATTCAGTCGGCTTCGAACGTCTCTGTACCACCGGTTCCCATCCGTCGTCATCTTCGCTCTTCACCTCTAACCATCTCAGTTCGTCCCGTCTCCGTCCCGTCTCCATCCAGTCTCCGTCCCGTCTCCGTCCCATCTCCGTCCCGTCTCCGTCCCGTCTCCGTCCCGTCTCCGTCACGTCTCCATCCCGTCTCCGACCCGTCTCCGTCCCGTCTCCCTCGTTTTCCCATCCGTTTCTCCTGTCTCCCCTATCTCCCCACCCGTCTCCCCGTGTCTTCCCTTGTCTCCTCGTGTCTCCCTTGTCTCCGTCTCACCTGAGCAGGGCGTGGTTGCGCAGAGACTGGATCTGACCGGTCGTCAGCTGGGAGACGGGGGTGTCTCCTCCGTCCGTGGGCGGCAGAGGAGCCGAGCCAGCCGCGCTCTCCCTCCGGAAACTGTGCCACCGCACCACGCTCGACCTGAGCACCAAACGGGGGATGAGGTCAGCCGCAGAAGGTCAGACGGACGGAGGCACAGAGGTTACATAAACACTGTCCGGGGAGGCGCCATCAGTTGGCTTTGGCGAACTCGTGCAGGTAAGCTTCGCCGATGCTCAAGTGGATGAGAATTTATATAACTAGAAAAAACTTGCGTGTCGAGAGGTGTCCTGGATGAAAATACCAAGAAGGGCCTGGTACTCTGAGGTGGCTGGGCCTGACAGCACGGTTGACTAGATCGAACGGCACATGGAGACGAAGATTGCCTGGGGACCGACGGCCGCCAGTTTTAGCGCTGGCCGCTGAGCCGTGAGAGACGAACTGCGGCTCGGGGCCCGTGTGCCAATGTCGCAATAAATTCCACTGACCAGAAATACAGACCGGCGCGGCGGCTCGATGGCATTCAGAGATGGCCGAATCGACCACGCGACACTCCCAGCCACTGCAAATGTCAACTCGGCAATTATTTACACCGGTGTTAATGCTGGGAGGCTCTAGCACCGGCCGCAGTGCAGGATTTCAGCCGCCTTAGGGGGTCGCGCCACCGGCCATTTATATGATTTACGCTAATCCAGACTGGGAAATGTTTCTCGGCCGAGCGGAGCAGACGGCGGCGGTGTTAAATTCCATCGGGTCGGCCCGCGGCGGCGAAATGGCAGTGCGCCCGACCAGAACGGACAGCGCGACAGCGACACATCGATTGGATGGTCCAACAGGCGGCTCGGGCCAGACACTGGACAAAAGCGACCCTGGCCAAGACATACAGCCGCCACTCAGTAATAGCCATTTGCTACAAAAGGCTGATGTCTTTTGATCATGGTGCCATGTACTCCTTCTCTTTTCAGCATTTTATTCGACTGTCGACAAAGGAAAGAAGAAAAACTAAAAAATACTCAAAGAGATTGTCACTCCAATCGATATATTTCGTTAACAAAGTTGTTTTGCAGGGGAAAAGTATGCTTCTTATATCATCAGCGTGGGACATATTCGGGTTACAGTAATGTTCATAACGCTTCCCCTGAGTGCAATAAATTTTCCTGCTCTGGAGAAGGCGAGTCGCCAGCCCTCAGTTCACAAACATGCCTGAAATAATGTATAGATGCATAACACGAAAGGGTTGTAATATCACTATGGCCTATTTGATAAATACATCTAAATAGGAGCATTTTAACCCTCGCCCTGGCAGGGCATTTTTCATAACACGGCCTGGCAGGGGGGGGGGGTCGATGCGACCCCCCTCGCGATTGGCTCCTATGGCACCTAGAAACACCAAATTCGGTAGGTAGGTGGGCCCCCTGGAGTTCTCGCCCCTGTGCAAATTTTGTTGCTCTAGGTTAATATTTAGGGGGGTTTTGGGGGGGTATCAATGTAAAAATTTCGCTAAAAACAGGTCAAACGTTTTTCGCTTATAACTTTTGATCTAATTAAGATAGTGCAAAAAGAAAAGCACCAGTGAACTCAGCACGTCAAGGCGCGTCGAATGATATATTTTTTAGCTTGCTTAAGTATACTTAAAGTTTTTCTTAAATTTTAAGTAAAGTTAAATTAATAAATTAAGTTAAAGTTAACCCAATTGCATCATATCGCATATCATTCGATTCGGCTGATCACCAGGAACACAATGGTACCATTTTTTAAGCTCTAGCGTCATTATGTGCCAAGTTATTGGCAAAAACGTCATTTGACCTCAGTTGACCTCATTTGACCTGACCCATGGATAAGTACACCAAACAAAGAAGCACCAAGTGACCTGCTGTTGAGTACTGTGGTTTCAAAGCACAAAAGTGATAGAACGAAGCGGATATCTCCAGTATTTTCCGAATTTAGTATTTTCCCATAGGCTTAACATTACGACGTAATGACCTCTAACTGACCTCAGGTCAGTGACCTCAAAAAACCCGAACTATATGTTATACAACTCGGTGAACTTAGCACATCCTGAAAGTTTGAAGGAAATCAGTGCAAAACTGTGAGTTGGACAGGTGCAAAAATAAATTTGAAATTTGACCATGACCTTGTACCGGTTTTTCTGACCTGGTGACCTGACCTAAGGTCACCCGGACCTGAAATTTTCAGGTCATATGTAAAAAGGTTGCTCCATAGGCTGTGCCAAATTTGGCGGCGCTGCGCGCCGCCGTTTTTACGCTATCTTCGAAAAACCTTAGGGGGGGGGGTCGCATCGACCCCCCCCCCCCCTGCCAGGGCGAGGGTTAATAGGTCATTGATCATAGCTACACGAAGTAATATGGTGCCAGTTTGTCAATAAACGACAATCATACTCAGAACAACACTTCGACTGCCTGTCATCTCCCTCTAACGTGCCTAAGTCCATATTGGTGCAAAAATACGCGGCCACCATACGATCATAGCCACAACTCCGAGCTCGATTCGCCCGGCTATTGTCAAAGTGTAATCAGCTCCTATTCCTCGACCCTGATAGGGTGTCTGTATGCCTATACCTGAGAGCCACGAACCCCATTTTCCGACCGGCTGTGGGTGTGTTTCTGTGCCGTACCTGCGCTGCCTGCCGTCCGCCTGGTCGGGCGACGTCGCCCCGGTCGAGGACGCCAGCGAACACTCGGAGCCGTGGTCCAGGGTGTTGGAGCAGCTGTTGGATCGGTTCCTCCACTGAGCCAGTCCGGATATCATCGGGCCTGGAAAGAACCGAGCCGTTGTAATACTTTATATCGTAGAAGGCGGGTGTCTGGCTTGCTTGTTGACGATATAAGCATACCATGCTTAATGTCAGTGTGTGATGTAATATTAGTCCATTGCAAAGCTGTAGATTGCAAGACCTGTAAGGTTCTGACGCAGTATAGTACATTGCAAGCTTATTAATTTAATTGCTGGATGCTAGCTAAATGAAACAAGGCCTTCACTGGATTGCTGTCCTACATTTACGTAACAGCGACGTTATAAATTATTCAGGCGCTGAAATGTTCGCGACAAAGCTGGCACCACCAGGGACCACTCCGTGAGGCGTCAACTCACTCGAATTGGCCCGGTTCTCGCGGACGCTGGACGGTGAAACGTCCTCCTCCTCTTCCTCTGTATTGTCCACGTAGCTGCGGTTGTAGACGATGAGTGGCGCAGGAGCACCGGACTGCGGCGTACATGACGCGGACTTGTGCAGTGGTGGAAGGGCTGCTTCGCGTAGCTCTTTCCTTTTCTTCAACTTGTCTGAAATTAAACGAAAAGTAGGTGTTGAATTATATACGAGAAACGTCTAGCCTACTTGACAGCTTAAATTTGTTTGTTTGTTTTGTTGGGTTAGGCTCTTTCGGTCCAATGAGACAACTGCAGAGCCGGGAGGATGATAGGAATTAGGGGGAGTGGTCTGGTCAGGCACCCTAGTGAGTCGCCGGGCTGAGCTGAGTCCATCCGACCAGACCCCCCCCCCCCCCCAAGCACTCTCTGCACCCGGCTACGGGTGCGCTCCCTCGGGAGCAGCGGTGCCGTTCCAAGGGAGCAGCCCGCATGAGTTGAAGTTGCCTGTTCAGCCCGGAGTGGGGGTTGCGGCGTGGAGGAGAAGGATTCGATTGTCCTGACGATGGAAACGGCGGACGGGCGACAGTTTAAATAGCTCGGAATGTGCTTAGACCAGCGGACATCAGCATCTGAGGCACGTACTTTGTACTTTCTTTCTGTAGGCGCCGCTCTCCTGGCCCATGTTGAGGCTGCTCGGTCTCCAGCTGGCCGTTGTCCGTCGGCCGAGCCGCACGCTGCCTCCACGGAGCCAGCGGCTGAGCGGGGACGGCTCCGCCGGCTCCGCCTCCTCCTGTCCGCCCAGTCGCTCCAGCGACAGGGGCGCCTCTATGTTCGAGATGGCGTACCCGTCGCCCTTCGAACCACCTAGGTGGCGGTGGCTGTCACCTCCGGGTGGATCCGTCTTCCTCCTCCGTCGGCGAGCTCGCATGCTCTCGACGCGTCGAAGGAAGGCGGCGGCGGACTCCTGAATCCTATCTCGACTGCTGCGGCGCGGCTCCTGCGCCACAGCCGCTCCTACGCTGGACTCAGAGCTCAGGGTGCTGTTGGAGCCGCCGCTAGGGGCGCTGCTGTCGGCGGTGGCGCCCAGAGTCGGCCTCATTCGCCAGCGCTGCGAGTGCCTCCCGTACAACCACGGGTCACCGGAGGGCGCCAGCTGCGCCAGCACATCCTCGTGCACCTGGGGAAGACAGTGACGTCACGTCAACACCTGGGGTAAGCGATGACGTCAGGGCACAGCCGGGGAGGGCTCGTGATGTCAACATTTGGCTACCCTACCAGCTGGGGCATTCCACGATAGATCGTACCAGGCCCGTCACCCTAAACCCTCAGATTTGAATGAAAATTGGTACTAGGGGTAATCATAGGCTCCAAAAACACCTGCCAAAATATCAGACTTCTCAGATGAAAATTTTTTGAGTTATATTGCAAAATATTTTCTAAACTTCAGATTGTAAGGGTGAGTTTTACGAGCTATAACTCAAAAACGAGCTAGGCAAGCAACAAACGGTAAACAGCTTTGAACTAACGATGAATCAAAGATTAATACAGCTTTTTTAAAATTGGAAAGAAAAGCTTTACATATTGAAAAAGTCGTAATATTTTTTTTTAAATTGTCTATAATGGCCCTTGGGACCAAAATTTTTGCCATTTTTATTTCTTCAAAATAAACTTCAGGTCATTTAAAATCGACATGCAAAAAATTAGAAAGGTGTTCTTTCTTTAAGTTCCTCATTTTAATGCATACAAAATGGGTTTCCGGGGGGTCGGTACGACCCCAGCTCGCCGTTTCGCCTCTAATGGAGCTAGAACCTTGCGGAAAAAAAACGAGAATGTGCGCCGTTACAAGATGCATCGAATGATACCACATTTTAAGGTCTCGGGTTTATTGGTGAACCCTGAGGTCATTGCAAGTGACCCAAATTACGGGTCCGGTTTTTGGTAAATAACTTCGCAACAAATGGTCACAGAGCCGCGATTTTAGCATCTTTGTGTTTGCCTAGCTCCGGCGCGTCGAATGGTATACTGTTTGTTCTGGTGAGGTCAGCATAAGTCGCTGACCTCGGGTCAGCACAATGCCGTGTATTTGGCTCCGCTCCCCGACCGGGTGGCCCAGCCGGCAGCCAGCCCCCGGGCATCACGTGACCGCCCGAGTCCGCGGCAAAGCCAACCAGCGCGGCGCTGGACAAACAGCGCCGCCACAGAGATGGTTAACAGTCGGGTCAGGCCACGAATCTGGGTGAATGATATCATATTGCACATCATTCGATTCGCAAGGTCTTCCCGAGTCCATTGGTAGCTTTCCCGTCTCTCTAGCTCAATTTGATCGAGAGTTATTGACGAAAAACTCTTATGACCCTAGTGACGTACGAATGACGTCACGCAAGGTCAACAATGCATAAGTCAGGCACAAATGACTTCAATTGAACTTTCAGTAACCAGTGATGTCACTAGGCAGCTTTACTACGCCATTTGTAGGCTCTCTTCCCGAAATCACAATTTGAGACCATTACGGTAACGCAAAATAAGTACATTTATAGAAAGAACACCTTCCTAATTTTTTGCATACTACTTAAAGATGATCCAAAAATGCTTTTAAGAACATAAAAATTCAAAAAAATGTGGTCCCAAAGGCATAAAAATGCAAATGAAAGGAAGCTCGAGGTGTTATATATCAAAAATAGTTTATATTTCAGAATTTCAAAAATGCATATTATTCTTTGTTTCAATGCAAGTTCAATGCCGTATAACATTTGGCATTTGGATTATCCGTCTTAGAGTTACAGCCCGCCAAACTTGGCGCTGCAACGCAAGATCCAAAACATGTTATACACTATAACTCAAAAACTACTCATGTGATAAGCCTGAAATTTCCACAGGAGGATTCAGAGCCCCTGATTACCCCTTAGACCAATTATCGTTAAAATCCGAGAGATGAGGGTGTCAAATTGGAAAAAAGTGGTACGATCTATCGTGGAATGCCCCAGCTACCACCTGTAGAGCGGAGGTGATTAAAAACCGCAGCGGATCAGATCGAGTCATGGGGAGAAACCCAAAGCCACTGCAATGACTATACTAGCCAGTGAGCGTTAGCTCCATAACATAATGTAACATAATATGTCATAGGTATGTAGTGTACATACCTATGTATCGTGACACCGCGACTAGACATTACATCATGCGTGACATAATATAAAATTTGCATATGCAGAGCAGGCAAGGACTGGCTGAAATAACTGACATTTAAGTCACCAAAGCCAAGTAAACGCATCGGTTTAGTTTATTTGCTGTTGTTGGGAAAATTACAGAAGCTGAGCATTTAATAAGGACAAGCAAAATAATTCGCTTGATCCGACAAAAATAATTAAGCGATAAAGCCATACAAATACGCCTGCACTTCGAATAGTAACGCAGTGCACCTATCAACCATTCCATTGATCCGATAGTTTCCGATTTTCATGAAGGATTCGTATATGTCAAACAGATAAGCCTAGGTTTGGGATGCTCTGCGAGATATTACTTTTGTGCACACGATAATGCACTGAAAAGTGCATCATAAGCAGTCGACTCCGAGAAAATCCGATGTCGAGTCGTGAGCGCTGCAGTGCCTCGACGTCGCTAAAACCGCAGCTCGGCTCATGTCGATGCAGGGCCACGATGTGTTGGTTTTATGTAAGATAGGCGTTCCGTCTACGAAACGTGACGGGCAGATGATGCTCGTAGAAAATCGCTGCCTGCCAGAACCTTATATAGCAAGGGCCTCCGTGACAGAAATCCTATGAAATTTCACCGGATGTATAGGAGGAGAAAACGCTGATGGTGTTTCATTTAATGTAAAAATGGGATTAGGTTTATTGTATCAGATAAAGCAAAGCAGGTTGCAGCAAAAAGAAAACTAGCAAAACCTGTTGCGCTATATTTCTGACTCGTTATATTTGCAACCTGCTTGGAGTGTCATGGAACATGCATACGCAATTAACTGAGATTGCCCTTTAATCTTGATGCATAACGCCGCTTTTCATCAGCCATGAAGAAAATCGTGAACAGCTGCAACAAGCAGCCGGGCCAGCCAAGGAACACGAAAAGTCTGATGTTGGGCTCGAGTTGAGGCGCCAGTGCCCCGCTACTGCGACATAAAACCCTGTATTGACGTCCACAGACGGGCTAGAGGTAACCGGTTCCAAAGCCAACACAGAGCTGGTCTGGGGGCCAGCCGGTCGGGTGGGAGCGGTGGTAGGAACGGGGTCGGAACGGGGCGGAACGGGGTCGGAATGGGGCGGAACGGTGAGGAACGGCAGTCGAAACGGGGCGAAAAATCGTGCAACAACACGAGGAGCTAGAAGCTCGGAGCAAGGTCCAGTAGATTAGGACAGGAATCTGCAAAGACTTCGTGGGTCTTACACCACGAAGAGTCCCGGGAGATTGACACGGAGCAGAGTCTAACATCACGAAAAATTCGACATTTGGTAACGTAATCCAGTCCCATGAAGAGCGCTGCGTTCAGGCGTATTCGAATAACATGTGATTTCGCCGTTCAAAACGGAATCTATAGCTAGCTATACGGGTTAGTTCAGTTCCGAGTCGGACAGCCGGCAGATGGCTGCGGGTCGGAGCGATAACCGGACCGGACAGGATCGTGCACGGTTCGGGAGCTCTGTCGTGATTGGGGCATTTGTGACGACGGTAGCTAAAGACGGAGTTAAAAATGGCACTCGATCACATCCGGTGAGCTTAATTGGGGTCAGTCGGTGAGCTCAATATTAATTTCCGCATTGAGACGTTTTTAATCAAGAATTACGAAGGACATCGACCTTGGCGTGGGATAAAGTTGCAGCACTGGTCAATATTGAAATAATTTACAGCCAATCCAACTACATACGAGCATTTAGGCATATTTGACTGCAACGAGTGATTTATAATTTGCTTGAGCGAAACTTATCGACCTAACAGTTATCGTGCCCCGATACTTAAATAAACAAAGAACGAATTATGTGAATTGTACGCGAGATTGAGCATCCCAGTTAGTGGGAAAGGTTATAACTAGCACAAACAAATAAAAATTGTCAGGCTATATTATGATTTCGTATAGGTATGCAGTCCTTTCACTTTTGGTGCGAGCCAAAACGGATGATTTATTTATTCCCAAGAAACGAAAACAATGTAGGCGTCCACTCACAAATGGAACAACACGCTGTGTTTGGCAACTCATAGGATTTCATAAATTACGCCGCACCACTGCTCAATGCGGATGTCTCCGGCACCATCACAATATTTCACCGAGACAGACACAGAGGTCCTCAAGGTAGCGACACCAATACGAGTGTTATCTGCGACCAAACTGGGCCTTCGCGTGATGCTATTGCCGTCATGCTATGAGGTCGCGGCATCTTTAGCTGCTGTTGGAATGTTACTGGGCTCTGTTTTTAGCTAAGGAATTTGGACTTATTGATTGCGGCGTATGAATAATTATTTATGTGTTAATTAACATCTGTATGTTCTTTTATGTAGGGGAGACCCGGGAGGTATGGGCCCCCTGGAGGTATGGGCCATCATAGAGATCTTATATACATAGAGATGACACGCCTATGTTAAAGCACTTGATTTCGTGGCGATTCAGTGGGTCTTTTTAAGCAAGGTTTTCTGGGGTGCCATGGCCCGTGACTTGCATTTTGTAAGGATTCGGTCAAGGAGATTGTGTTCACATCCGCTTATTTTTAAGTACAGTTTTTCTTTTTTGTCTAGCTGTGACGCTTTCGAGCGTTATTATTGAAATGAAATTAGGCATGTTTTAACCTTATGCTCGTATCAGGTACTGCATGTATCATTAACCCTCGCCGTCCGACGGGGGGGGGGGGCGGGTGCCGCCTCCCATATAGGGTTTTTAACGATAGCTCCGAACACGCAGGCGATGGAGAGCTGAAACTTGGCATACCTGACCTTTGATCCAAGCCGCATCTTGTGACACCAACCGCATTTTCAGGTCAGGTCAGGTCACTGACCTGTGACGTCATAAGTGAACCTCTGCACAGTCCTCAGATGTCACAACTTCGCAACGCCGTCAGTGCCAGAGGAACTTTCACAGGGAGATGAAACTTACAGGATGTAGTATCATCCAGAGGTCTCACAACTTGTACATATATCTCGGATTTTCCCTAAAAATCACATGAGGTCAGGTCGGCC